CCTAGGATAGTTAAATCGGTACCTTTGAAGATAGAAGCCTGGCAAGAGAGTTTAAAAAAAAAAAAAAAAGCCCAGCTGATTTTTACATGTACCCTGCATCTGATGTGAGGATTCTAAAACTACTTAGAAAAATGTTGCTTTAAAAAAAAAATCCACTCCCCTTTAGGAGGGTTAATATCTCCACATTCGGAGCTGTGGGAGATGCAGAAGAGCCAAAGGCATCTCCCACTGATGTCCGCCAGGGAGTAAACCCCACAGTACCTGATAATGTCGTGGAAGAGCAACCATTAGTGTGTGCTGAGTTGTGAAAAGTCATGGAAAGTTGACTTGAGACTCTCTGCAGCCCAGTAAGTGATTCAGGAAGCTTATCATTAAAATAAAAGACAGCCTCTGCCCACAAAAGGTCAAGTGGTTGCCTAACAAACCCGGTGCCAAGCTTGATCAGTACCAGGGGTCTGAAGATTTCATTCTCATTAAAAAATCACTAAGCTCAGCATTGGACATACAAGGTGAGCCAGGCACACACTGTCTCATACCTGAGTCTCCTCCCGGTTCCGTCAACAGATAGTTTTAAAATACTGAGAGATGCTGAGCAGCTATGGAAGGTTGGTGAGCTAGGAAGCAGTACATTGGAATGCCACATGCTTCTGCCTGAACTATTTTAGTCTAATCCGACAGTGAGTCGTTCCTGACTAGAGGTACATGATAAGAAAAATGACTAAGAAATGCTCCTTAGAATCTAGAAAAATCTGAAGAAGAATAGTTTAGTAATTAGAACAATAAAGTAGAATAGCAAAATAATTAAGTGTTTCTTGAACAGGGCATGGTGACACATAGCTGTAATCCTAGCACTCAGAAAGGTATCAGGCCAGCCTGGGCACATAGCAAATCCATCTTCGCAAACAAAATAAACATGTTTATTTCAGGAGGGAAATGTTCTTAAGTTAGGGTGACTTGGAAATAAGCAGGAATGGCTGCAAAATCTTTTAACAAGAAGAACTGTTTCCGTTCTCTTGGGATAAATCATTTCGGTTCGTTTTCATCAGAAATGAGTTGCTGATGTTGGGACTCGGTACCGAGCTAAGAATCAGACCTTCTGGCTTTTGCACAGATGTCACCACCATCCCATAATTTGTCTTCCCAGCTATGTGAGAACTTTAATACTGAATGTCAGATCGACGGGGAAGCACTTGTTTACTTTTGCTTATGCTTTTGCAGTCCCGCATCCCAGTGAGATCCCTTGGATGACGTGACTCTGCAGATAGGAAGTTTCCGTCTTGTACACCTGTGCCGAAGAGTTTGTCAGTCAGAACTAAATTTCTGTCTTTGCCTTCAAGTAAACAAGTTCTGAAATTCTCACATGTAAATGATTAGTATGTAATTAATTCCACAAGAATTCGTTGCTCTGATTGGTCCCGTTTTATCACCAGTCGCCAAGTGGATAGGACTTAGTTATTGGGATGCACAAGGTTAAACTGCCAGCACCTCCAGGATGGCTGAAATGAGTTCTCAGTCTGCATGTGTGCCCTCACAAGAGACCCAAGTGTAGGCAAGCTTTAATCCATTCAGTGTGTGATTTATGGAGCCCCGGAGGTCAGGAGTTTATTATACCCCAAATCATAATAACTGCTTTGTTTTCCCTTTAAAAATGAAGTGACCAAAGCATGTTGAAAGATAAATGGGTGAGCCATTTCTTTGCTATTAAAGACCCAGTGTTGCTGTGGAGTGGCAGCCCTCTTAAGTGCGGTGGTGTTAAATCTGAAGTAGTCTGTAAGCTGAGAGCCCCTCCTTGCCTCTGGGTCTGAGATTGCTGTTAATCAAAATGTTGGACCTGTGTAGCAGTAGCGAATGAAACAAACAGCTTAAGCAGACAGCGCCTTTCATTCCCTGGCTTTCTGTGTTTTTCAGATTTCTGAGAGAGGTCTCTTCCTGTAGGCTTGGTTCTGTGGCTCACATGCCTAGATTTCATTTATTATACCAGAGCCAATGAAGTCCAGTAGTTGCAAGGTTGTCTCGTGTCAGTGAAAGGAGGAAGGTACCTTTTTATGTTTTTAATTGACAAAGACAGATAAAGTCATTTTGAAACATGAATAATTTCTATCTGGAATAGGTGTTATAGAAAAATCTGTATTGGAGGCAAAATATGGATTATTCTTTTAAATAGAACAATGAATTTGTGGGAAGATTAATAACCCAATTAGGTTAATGGGGTAAGTGAAGCATCAATATAGAAGTATTAAATAAAATTGTTTTGAAAAACAGGTGATTCTGGCTTAGGTATTAGCTTTGGTGTAAGAGTTCTGGGGCTGTTAGCTCACAGCACAGGGCCTGAGCTCCTGTGGTGTGTAAGGGCCTTTAGCAGAACAGCCTTGTTGCTAATGCACTTTGTGGGGTGCACACTGGACTTCAAGAGTGGGGGAGAAGGCCTCTCGTCATACAGTGCATTGCCAAAATGTCGAGCGTTACTTTATTCACTGTCTCCAGTGTCCATTGCTGTGACCAAACACCATGAAGCAAGTGGGGAGGAAAGGGTTTATATGACTTACACTTCCACATCACTGTTCATCATCAATGGAAGTCAGGACAGAAACTCAAATGGGGCATGAACCTGGAGGCAGGAGCTGATGCAGAGATCATAAAGGAATGTTGCTTACTGACTTGCTCCCCATGGCTTGCTCAGCCTGCTTTCTTATCATCCCCAGGACCCCAGGGATGACACCACCCCATCAACCACCAACCAGGAGAATGCCCTACAGCCAGGTCTTGTGGAGGCAGTTTCTCAATTGTGGTTCTCTCAGATAACTCTTGCCTGCATCAAGTTGACATAAAACTGTCCAGCACACCACGTGAAGCAAATTGCAGATGTTCTGTAGAGTCCAAGAGGAGGGGAATTGCTTAGGGCTCAGCAGCAGCCTCAGTAGTAGAGGCTGTTGCTGTGTGGCTGGCTTTCAGAAGCTCTTTACTGGGTGAGTCTGCCACTGATTGGCCAATTTTCAGAAGCAGGAAGTTGTTGCTGGTGATTGGCTTTCAGAAGTGACTTGAGCTGTCACTGATTATTTAGACCTAGGTAAGTCAGCATTAATTGGTTAAATCCAGTTATGTTTCCAGATGTATTTACTGGTCTCTTGTTTCCATGGTTACTTGGGGGAGGTGACCTTTTTCAAGGAATTGGGCACTCTCAAAATCTAACACCCAAATAAATGCCACTGGAAATTTAAAACACAGGAAAACCAAGCTCTGTAGGGAAATCCACATATGTATGCAATGGTTGTAGGATGCATTTTCTAATTGACAGAGTTTACTGAAGCAATGGACCTGTTAGACGTCAAACAGGCTCTCACATATAAAGTGGCCCATTCCTGTGTTGAGATCAGTTATTAAAGCTAGAGCAAACTGCATTATTAATGGTAGCACATAGTGATTCAAATGTGGTTTACCTCATATAAACGACTTAGGTCGTCTGTGGGTCACTAATACTCACTGCATCACCATGACCTTCTGAAGTAGAACAAAAGGAAGTAGTAATGGTCCATATGCTACTGCATCACCAAAATGGCAGTTCTGTAGTAGTTTCCTCCCAAAGTCTCCTTAGGAAGCCTCAAAATCCGTACACACTCATAGGAGTTTTCCGTCCAGATAGATGTCACTCATCACCTTTGCTGCTTCGGGGGAAGGAGCAGGGTTCCTCACTGCAGTTCCTGACTGTGCCGCCTGCCCAGATCTCTGCTTGTACAGACCAGAGGAAATCAGTGTCATATGTGGGCCCGTCTCAAGAGTTGCAAGGGATGTATGCCAGGTTTTATTCCTGTCTGCTGTGATGAAGGAAATACGTATTTAAGATGCACTGATACTAACTGAATTTTTTAATTAAATAACTAGTAGAAAGTTCTTATCACTTTTGTTATTCACATAAAAACTGAATTTTTCTCGTACCTAATTCATCCATTTGCCCTGAAGTCTTTTGACCCCCCTCTTTACTGCTGATACCTCCCAATGGAGGCACAGCTAATCGCTGGCATAGTTCCCCACTGCTAAGGATAGCTAGCTTATGACCACTTAGGATTCAAGCACATGCTGATAACTTAAGACCAATAAGCATTCACTAAAGTAGGAAGACAGGATAGTGAAACTTGCCATAATCAACAGTAAGAGGAGAAAATTAGTTCATGGAGTTACGCCAGAAGTTCCAGTGCCTTTTGAAAAACTCAGCTCCTCCCAGAGAAGACAGCCACACACCATCTGAACATCACTGTTGTTGTATTTTAAACATTTGTCTTATAGATGCACACTTTTTGTTCTGTTTGTTGCTGCTTATTTGGTTTTTGTTATTTTGCTAGTAGTGCTGGGGAATCGAACCCAGGACCTTATGTATGCAGGGCAAATGCTCTGCCACTAAGCTGCACACCAGCCCTGACACATCACTTAAAGGTGGGGATGGAAGGGTAGGGGGCTGGGTTTTGTTTTGTTTTTAGTATAGCCCTTGCTTTTGACCCTTTGACCCTCTCAGAACACAAACATCAGATAGATCTGGTTATTGGCTGGCATCTGGCTCCACAGCTGGCTCCCTGTGGTTGAGTGTACTCTTCAAAGAAAGAGGACAGAGTTCCAAATATGGTTTTAGGAGACTCCCAGCTAGAAATCAAAGCCTCTCACCCGAGAGGATTCCGCAGTGAGCATGAGAGTAAAGCTCCCAGCAATGCAGAGTGCTGGGTCAGGCGGGCCTGTTTTCCAGAGTTTTGTTTGGTTTCTGTTTTGCAGATCTGGGGACGCAAGCTCAAGGCTTTGCACAGGCTAGACACTCTGCCACCAAATAGAATTACTCCCCTCCCCCCCCCCACACCCACCCCGACCCCCTCTTGACTTTCTGTGTGAACCGGGCTCCTATAAGGAGCAACCCCTCCTGGTGCTTCTGGCTGCTCCTTCTCTGTGCGAGAGTGGGCCGTAAAGTTTCTCCTTTGAGTTCTCAGCCTGAGCTCACCCGGCCTATCTCCTCTCCTCAGGATGTCACATGTGCTCCAGTTTGAAGACAAAACCAGGAAGGTGAAAGACGCAAGCATGCAGGATTCAGACACATTTGAAATCTATGACCCTCGGAATCCAGTGAACAAAAGGAGAAGGGAGGAGAGCAAGAAGCTGCTGAGAGAGAAGAAAGAAAGGAGGTGAGAGGAGAGTGGCGAGGCCAGAGCTGCTGAAGGCCTGCAGTGCATGACTGTCTATGTGACAGCCACTGTGCCACCGCGCTCACGGGTGTGAAAAGTACTTCTGAACCTTGTCTCTGGCTCAGAAAACAAATACTTTGTTTTGTAAATTTGGGATGATATGAGCAAATGCTTTTGGTTACTGATACATTTTTTTTCTTATTTGACCTTTTCTATTGCTGAATCTGAAATAAAATCAATCTTTCCAGTTTAAATGTTAGCCATTTATAGATTGTATAAGCCTGTTTATGTTCTTTTACCCTGAGATGTGTGAAAGTGTGTCAAGATTTTTTGAGTGCTCACAGAAAGAATAAGAGGAACTTCCCTGACCCTTTGATACAAAATAAAAATTATAAAATAAAGACATTAACATTGATGACTCTTTTTTTATATAAACATATAAAAATAGCTAGACCAGTAGGACTCTTGCTTTAATTCATGAGAAACCCACAGGCAAATCAATATTGTCTCAGTCCAGGCTTTTGCCTGGGTGTTATGAATGCATTCAGGACAGTATACACTGCTGCCGCGCTCACTAACAAACACCACATCCTGGTGTCGGCCACCTGCCGCTCTCTGCCCCCATCCACACAGCAGCGCCGGGAGCAGGTAGGTGCGCAGGACCCACACCACCAGCAGAACACATCAGGAATTTAGCTCTCGATGCAGTCATTCACACTGAGTGGTTCTGTTGCCTATTTTTAGTTCTAAAACCTGCTTGCTAAAATTGTACAGCAGGCTAACTTCAATCACCTAATAAAACTTCACCAGCCACATCTTTTCAGGAGAAGTAATGAAGTTGGTTTCCTCTTCCTAGAGCGCCGGCTCTTCATCGGCGAGCCCAGGTGCAGCGCTGGCAGCAGAAATAAGGAGGGAGAAGCCCTAGTCCCCGCCTCGCTGCCTGCCAGTCACCACCAGCACCCCTCCCCCAGACGATCAGTGTCTAGGGAACTTAAAACTGTCATATCCCATGGCCAGAAAGCTAGACTCCTAGGCCTGTACCCTGAAGAAATTTTCAGACACTGTTCAAGATGAGGAGGTGCTAACGTCTATTGAAGCCTCATAAAGCGGAGTGTAAGTATGTTGTGACACAGCCACGCTGTGGAGTACTTCATAGTGATACAGACCACTAAACTCTGGGGATGTAGCTAAAGGAGCAGTGTTTGCCTAGCTAGATCCTCGGGGTGGAAAAAAAAATAAGTAAACAGAACTATGTTGCTGTATCTTAAAAGGAACAAACAAAAACAGCTATATAAACATGTAAAGCAGATAACAGATCATTTGTATGTTGGATGTGCACATATGTAAAACTAGTGGTTCCCTCTGAGGATGAGAAAGGAATGCCTGGGGTCACTTGGGTCAGCTAGAGAGGAGGTGCGCGGGTCTCGTCCTGGCACGTTCTGGTGTACACGGGACTCTTAGTGTTCATGGAGTTTCTTTTTTGTATAAGGAAGGAAAATATCTCAGGGGAAAGAAAGGTGTGAGAGAAGAACTCTAGAGAATGTCAGTCAACTCAGAATTTTGGATGATCAAGGCAGGATTTGGTTGTCCAGATATCGCTGCAGTTATATTTCTTCGGCATATATTCCTTGTACATAGTGATAGGTTTCATAGAAATTTTCATATGAATATGTCATGTACCGTGACCGTATGCACCCCCTCCCTCCTCTTCTCCCCTCCCAGTCTTCTTCATCCAGCTAAACAGCCTCCTTTCTACTTCATATCCTATGTGCTTATACAGTCTTATGTGTTTATACAAAACTCTAGGACCCACAAATGAGAGAAAACATAGGACTTGTCTGTCTCAGTTTACTTAATACACTCTGCTACTCCATCCATTTTCCTGCAAAGGATGTAAATTCAAACTTTGTAGCTGAATAAACCTCATCCTGCATCCATACCCTTTTCCTTTATTCCCTCATCCACTCACAGCTAGGCTGAGCCCGTGACTGACTGCTCTATCTTGGCAGACACTGTGAAGTAGATAATGCCTGAGTCCATGTGTATTGAAATGCCTTCTCTGCCATTCCTCCTCTGCTGTGGCCACTTCAAGCAACTCAGTATTAGCCCACAGAGCACACTATAGTTCTCCCTCCAGTAACCGAAGAACATTTGCAGTTTTAAACGATGGTTCATTGTTTTATTTATTTTTGAAATTATAATTTAATTATATCATTTTATTTTCCCGCTTCCCTTTCCTCCCTGCAAACCCCCATATATTCCCATTCTTGCTCTATTGTAAATTCATGCCATCTTTTTTAAGTAATTGTTATTACATACATACATGTGTATGTGTGTGTGTAAATATATTTCTAAGCATAACCTGGTCAGTCTGTATAATGTAATTTGTATGTATGTTTTCGGACCTGACCATTTGGTATTAGATAACCAATTGTGCTCTTCCTTGGGGTAAACAGTGTCTTTTCCTCTCAGCATTTCTTAGTGCATTATGTATGGTTATGTATGAGCTCACCATCACAGCCCACATTAGCATGTCTACTGTTGCTGTCCTTGTTCAGTCCTGTTTAGGCAACCATGTTGGTGAGACTTTATGGGTGTAGCTTCTGATGTCATGAGGTGGATGCAACCTCGCAGCAAACTCCCTTATCTCCTGGCTCTTAGAATCTTTTTGCCCTCGCTTCTGTAAAGTTTCCTGAGCTTCAGGTGTGGGAGTTGTTTTGTAGATGTATCCATTGGGATTAGGCTCCACAACTCTGCATTTTTATTGGTTGCATTTTTTTCTGTAATGTTCTCTGTCACTTACAAGGAGTTCTCCCATGAGGTGAAGACTACACTTCATCTGGGTATACAGTCAAATATTTAGAATGTAGTGAGCGATTATGCTGGCTTAGTAAAGTGCTGGTTATAGGTTTTCCTCCAAGATCCATGACTTCACCAGCCCTGGGTAGCTGGCTAGGTTTCTAGTACTGTGCCTGGTTTCTCTCTTGTTGAATGGGTATTGAATTCAGAGAGAGAGGTGTTGGTTACCACAAAGTGTGCCAGTCACTATAGCACTCGAGTTTACAGTATCATGCTGGTTGTTGTGGTGAACTGGTCTCATAGCTGGGTAGAACTGTCGGCTGCTCCCCTCCTCTGGAAGATTGCATGGCACCTTCTGATACCATTGAATGACAAAGATCTTAGTTTAGCTAAATATTCATCGTATTTTAACTTCAAGAATCAGAAGATTCTGAAATGCAGTAGTGATTAGAATATTGTGGGAATCTACCATTACAAAATCCAATAAATTTAACTAAGTAAGTAATTTTCAAAAGAATAGGAAACTAAATTAGGTATACTTGTATACTTGTAGTCACAGAAAAATGTTTAGGCCAAATAGATGAACTGGAAAAAAAAAACTAAAAGAAATGTGAAAACATTAAAAATAACCTTTAAATTCACTTAATTTTTGTATTTGGGTTTATTTTTTGTTTACGTATTTGGGTCAGGGGTGTTATCCTGAGACAAAGCAGCCTGTCAGAGTTCTTGTTCTTTGCCTGGGACAATGCTAGAAAGAGAAAAATAATTGGCATTTTTGCTCTCGTGATGGCAAGCCCTGCCTTCCACTTCAGATGAAGCTGGTGGCAGGTAAAAGCTTGACTTTTCCTTTCTCAAAGAGTCACTGAAGTTAGTGCAGACCCATCTGGGATGTTTAATGTTATAAAAATGCATATCATCCCATGCACTCAGCTCTGTCTCCCCTGAGGCCACGTGGTTGGTAATGCATCTAAAAATGGGGATATCATAAAACGGGTCATTAAAACGTGTGAGGGGCTGAGTGGCTTGCTGCTGTTTTTAGAAGCCAGTCAGTGACCTATGGTGGGCACCTTTATCAAACCCTCACTGCCAGGTTCCTGATAAGGTCAGATGTGTGAGGTACATGAACCTGTCATGTTGTGTCAATGTGGCCTGGGTGGGAAAGGTTAGATAGAGGTAGAATATGCCCTAAGCAGGCTGGTTTATCTTAGTGATACCGAGCCAGAGAGGGGAGGTGTGAAGTGAGTCCACTGAGGGTCTTATCGGTGTGAACAATTTGTATATGCGGTGTCGATGTGGAGAAGTTAGGAGGGCTTACATTCTTCACTGCCATTCACAAACAAGAGGAGGTCTGCTGGCACTGTGGCTGTGACAGCCAGCATCCAGCAGTTGGTCGGGGGCCCCATTTCTGCTGTTGGGAAAGCACAGTGCATTTTCATCTTTGCCTCTTTTAACTTTTAATGGAGAGACAGAGATACAGGAACCACACTGTGGAGAAATCCTTGCTAGATGACACTTGAACTCTAAGGCATCAGATGTTGAAGGAGGCTGCTTGTTGGTTCCTGGCCGCCTAACTAGCTTAGACCTGAAAACACATCAATCAGACCTCACTAGGATGGCGTTAGCAGTACTGGGTCTGTAGAAAGAATGTTCGTCAGCGCAGCCATCACCACCACCTCCCAACACACTCCTCACTGAACCCACAGGCCTGTTAGTGATTTTTGCCATTTACTTTTAGTTAATGCCTTTGAATGCTGACTCACTCTATTGTGACCCCTTGCCTAGAGCCACAGTCTTCAAGCTTTTTGATTTTGTATGATTGCCATTTCGTGATGGATTTATATCTTTAGATTCTCTGTTGATGCAGTTTTTCAAAGTCCCACTTTGGGGGTTTTTCTCCTTTTTTTGTTTTCCAGTTAATCTTAATGCTAAGCCCCAAAAGGAAGCAAACCGTCTGAGGAAAAGGAGGCTAGGAAACAGAGTGATGGGTCTTTGATTTACCTACTTTGAATGATAATGTACAAATTCATGATTTAACTTAAAAGAACAGGATTGAGTTAGAAGATGGGGATTCCCACCTGAAGAAGAAAAACATGGATTGTAAAGGAAATGCAGGCCACACTCTGGTCTCTCCCCACATCTGCTGGAAATTAGTCCCTGAAGATTACATCATGGTATTAATTCATGTTACTTGATCAGCTAAATTATCTTCTGGAGGCTTTCTTCACAGCACCAGTTAAGAAAACAAAAGATTTTTTTGTCTTTTAGAAAATTATTATTTTCTTGTCCTCGTGATGCCAAATGTGGTCATTATGGCTAAACTGCTAGCGCTTTCCTAAGTAACTGGGCAAATTTTGAAATTAGGAAACACTCAAGTGGCTTTTGCACCTATTTTCTGTGCTTAATGTAGGTTAAGATTGTATCGGGATGCTCAAATACCTTAATAAAGATACACTAGAATTGAATGGTTCCACACAGAAAAAAATAGATTATGCCACCTAAAACACATGCTTTGTAATTAGTTCTCAACCCTTACAGTTGTGGGTTGTGTGTGTGAGTTGTGTGCGAACTCACAGTATGTGGGCTTCCTTCTCTTTTCCATGTGATAATATATAAAGTGTTACTGAATTTTCAATTTGGGGGACATAATTTTATTGGGGTGAGAGGCATGAACCATTTTTCCTGTACTCCAAAATCTCATTATAATGCTGTTTTATCGGTGCAAGTGAATAAAGTAATTAAGAATTAATGATATTTCCCAACCAGCCAAAGAATTCAGCAAGTGATTCTTGAGCTTACAAAAGGGGTATGTGATCTACAAGGTTTAAGTCCATCACAATAGGAAGTGTCATGTGTGTCCAACCTGATGCATCCAAAGTCGCTTATAGCTGTAACTCCTGGCCTTGCCTTGGCCAGTCCCGCTTCAGGCCAGTTTTCCCATCTGTGTTGGCAACGCCAGCTTGCTCAGGCCGCATAACCTAAGTTCCTGTCTTTACCTCACACACTCAAGTCGTGGTGTTCTGTTGTCTCCCTTCCAAATAGACCCAGAATAGGAGTTCTTCCCACCGCCTCTGCTCGAGGGAACGCCCCAATCAGACTTCACCTGCGCTGCTGAAAGAGGGCCATACCCAGTCCCCTTGCTGCCACCCACCTCCTGGCAGCTTATTAGCACGGCGGACAGTGAACATTTTTAAATTGCGTCACAGTGTCGCGTTCTGTTTACACCCTATGTGATTCAGAGTGAAAAGCCAAGCCCTTACAACGGTGTATGAGGCTCGGTGTAATTGCCACTCCGCTCCCCAGCCTCGCGGGCTTCT